AGCACCTAGAGCAGCAACACAAGCACCTAAGCTAGACAGGCACAAGGCTACACTAGCGGGAGGCAAGCATGCTAACCTACGAACACGCGAGCACACAGATCCATTAGCACTATAGTCAGCATCAACATACAAAGCATGCTGACGCGCATCGTCCATGGACAGATCAAAGACATCAATCTTACGGGCTAACAGACGAGACCAGCGAGGCGTGACCGCCAGAGGGCCCCAACGAGCCCGGTAGAGGTCGTCGAGGCGGCAGAAGCACCGCGCGGCAGAGTGGTCGTCGCGACCACAGAGACAGGGGCTGCCCGGCCCGGTGACGCACCAGTGGGTGCAGGGGCCAGCGTCACGGCGAGGGGGGCGAGGGGCCCAGCTGGAAGAGCTGCTGCTGCGGACGGTGCTCCCAGGGCCTCCCGGACCCCACTGCGGCGGGGGACCCCAGTGCTGCTGCGGACCCCACTGCAGTGGGGGCCCCCACTGCTGGAACTGCTGCGGTGCCTGCTGCTGCTGCTGCTGTCCCTGCTGTGGCTGGTGCTGCTGTGGCGGCTGCTGCTGGGTGGCAACGCCCCCGCCAGTCGGGCCACCACCTGTGGGTGGGCCTGTCTGTCCTGCACCTCCTCCAAGGCCCCCTCCCCCTGGTGCACCACCGCCGCCGCCGCCGCCGCCTCCGCCACCACCGCCGCTCCCACCTCCACCGCCACCTCCACCGCCGCCACCACCGCCCCCACCTCCCCCCTTCCCGCCCTTCTTGCCACTCTTGCCCCGTTTCTGCCAGTTTGCGGCAGAAACGGCAGCAGTGTCCTCAGAGACCGACACAGCAGCAGAAGCGCGGGTAGCGGTGAAAGTGGGAAGCTGAGGGGCGGCACACCCCGCAAAGAGACGGGGGGCCACCGCATCAGTGGCGGAGGCAACGGTGAGGAGACTGCTCTCGATGGTCCCTAGAGCAGTCGCTAGGAGGTCGATAGTGAGCTCAGTGGGGTGCTTCTGAAGAAGCGCGTCGCGGGCAGTGGCAAGGCGGTCAGGGAGGCGGGTGACTAACCAGTGAAGAGTGAGCCACATGGGGGGGGGAGCGACTAGAAGCTGTGCGTCGGTACAGGCAGCGCGGAAACCGGCGTCAAGTGAGCGGAGGTGAGTCACTAGGTCGGAAACAGTCGCAAACGAGCCTAGGTCGGGAAACACAAACGGCATGAGGAGGCGACTGAGGGAGGCAGAGGAGGGGGTGGAGTAGCGAGCAACAATAGCCTCCCAAACCCCCTGTGCAGTCTCCACCTGGTCAAAGTGGGCGGCCTCAGTCGGGGGGAGAAGCTCCGACAGAGTGAGAGCGGCGGCTGCGTCACGCGAGAGCCACACGTCCCTGGCCAGGACCCGACGGTCGTAGTCCGCCTGGGCCGTAGGGGTCGGCTCCGGGGCGGTCGGCAGGGCGGCGGGGGACGGGGGGGGCTGTAGGGCACCAGACGCGTGAGCCCACAGAGTGGCGCCGTCCTGCCGCTGGCTGGTGAGGAAGCGCGTGGTCTGGCGCTGCCAGGAGCTAAACTCTATTGGGCGTCCCTCCGCGTCGAAACGGAGGCGACGAGACTCCATGACTGATGCCATGCTAGAGGCGGCTGGAGCTCGGCAGAGGCTGAGCTAAGAACGAGGAGGAAACCTACGGAGCGCCAGGAGGGAGAACGGCGGAGTACTGCTGGAGCACGGAGGAAAACAGAGCTAGGAACGCCAGTCTAGTAAACGGCTGGAGGAGGCAGGTCTAACGAGCCAATCGAGGAGCCAGAGAGTCGTTCGAGGGGCTGGCGGAGCGAGGAGAGACCTAGCTAACAACGAACGTCAAGGCTACCCTAAACAGCTAAGCGGAGCGGCCTCCAGCCGCGACGGTGCGAAACACTGTGAGTATGAGTGACGCGAGTGACGAACCAACGGAGGTCGGGTGGTCCTAGGTGGTGTGCGCGCGAGATAAGGGGATGTGAGCGGTTGGAAGGGGCTGTGAGCGGTTGGAAGGGGCCGTGAGCGGTTGGAAGGGGCTGTGAGCGGTTGGAACGGGCTGTGAGCGGTTGGAACGGGCTGTGAGCGGTTGGAAGGGGCTGTGAGCGGCTGGAAGGGGCTGTGAGCGGGTGGGAGGTGCTAGCTGGCGCCAACTGCAGGTGGCTAGGTTCCGGTGGCTAGCTGTTGCTGGTGGCTAGCTTCTGCCTAGCCGTGCTGCTGCTGCAGGAGCACGCGCTGCTGCCTAGCCGTGGTGCTGCTGCAATGCACGCGCTGCTGCCTAGCCGTGCTGCTGCAGCAATGCACGCGCTGCTGCCTAGTCGTGCTGCTGCAGCAATGCACGCGCTGCTGCTGCAATGTGCGTGCTGCAGTGGCGTGCGCGGCTGCCGCTGGCTAACGCGCGCGCTGCTGCGGGCTAAGGACGACTACGCGGGCCCGCGGGTGGGGGTGGGGGGGGGGAGATTCCCCTCTGGAGCGCGACGAAACGAGGGGCCAGCGGGGCCCTTTAAGCGCGACGAAAAACGAGGCCCGCGGGGGCCCGTAAACGTGACGAAAACGAGGCCCGCGGGGGCCCTTAAACGCGACGAAAACGAGGCCCGCGGGGGCCATCCTACCCGCGACGAAACGGGGCCTAAGGGACGGGCGCCTCGGGACTGGCTAAGGGAGGGAGCGGAAGCGTGGGAGGGATTAAAACCTGCTCTAATACCATCTTAAACTAGGCTAGGAGAGAAGTATCGAAAGTGTGTTTCGAGTGGTGAGAGGCAAGGGATACAAGTGTCGACCTAAAGTGTTGTACCCTTTAGAGGGCAACTCACTGTAGCCTAGACTAACAATATAAAGAATATATAACATTTGACACGTTTTGTACCCATTTTCTCGCCTGTGTGCCGATTTTGTCAATTTTGCATTTGCGTTTCAAGCGATGTGATCATTCACCCGATCTGGTTGTTGTCACGTAGAGTGCCAGGTGGGTCAAGTGCCACGCAGCTGAGCTGGCAACAGGCAGAAACTGTTAGTTGGCGTGGCGTGTGTGAGCATCTGGCAGTGCCGCATGAAACTTTCACTACGAATTAGCAGCTTCGCAATTTCACAGCAGTGCATGCTGCAGATTTTCTTACAAAGAATCAGCATCAAAATCGCCATCTTGTCTACGATACATTAGCAATAACTTACATGTGACGAGATTTTGTCAACGAAATCTCGTAATCACGCAACCATTTTCTTAGTGTAACTGGGAGATATTCTCGACGAACGAGTGTATTCGGATGTCCCAGCTGTTGAAGCGTGCGTTGCTCACGTCCTGGCACTCCACTGCCATCTCGGAAGTGGGAATATCGAAACGAAACTTCCAGGAAACTTCTTTTCGAAAAGCTCACAGAGTGCACCCCCGACACAAGGCTGAGGCTCAGCCTGCACCCCTAAAAATTGGCTGAAATTTCAGTGGTTACAATAAAAAAAACTCTGAAAAATCAGAGAAGATACATAAAAAAAAACTTATAGTTCAGACCAGGTACCAAAAAAAAGTCTGAATGGACGCTGAATCAGCGTAAAAAGTCTGATATCTAGGGCCCTGCTCGACATTGAGCAGTTGCCCGAGTCGCACTGTATCGAATCGCAACAGCAAGGTAGTTAATTATATCTATTCGTATTCCTTGTACTCTTATATAAAGCTTTCTATCTGCCTGTTTTAATCAACTTACTTTGCCCTCACATACTAGCGCAAGGTGGTTCAAGACCTTTACTAAAACGCTTCCGCTATTACAATCCTACTCAGACTTTAACTCTACAAAGATCCTAGGGCTTCTCAGCCCAACATTTTTTACCCCCCGGAGTCGACTAGAGTCGGGTTCAGTGCCTATCTTATCAGTGGAAGCTGCTAGACAAAGCAAGTCCCTTAGGAACTTGGACACAATTCAATGCCATGCATGGACCTTGAGTGACTTGAGGTGCATGCTTAGGAGTTCTCTGGAATTCTGTGATATATTAGCTGGTTTTGTTGTGTAACCATGTAGAAAATACCATCAATTCAAGCCGAAAGTCAATTCATGGTATTTTCGGCTAAAATATGATTGGCTGCGGAACCTTGTGAATCTTTCGCGAAGCCTTGAAGTTGTCGCCGACATTCTCCCCTTGCTGCATGTGTGCTGAGGGCTGGGTTGAATCTTGTTTTTCCAACACAGAAAAGCTATCTTTCAGCAGAACTTCACTCCTGAATCACCCGCCGCTCCTCACGCCTAGCCCCTCACCTCACCCGCGCTCCACACACCCGCCTCCCTTTACAAATTACTCTCATCACGCTCACTCCGGCTCGCGTTCATTTGCCACCTTTTCGCACAGCACGCCCCATCTCGCCCACCCGATCTCCGTTTCGCGAATTTCGTTAACATTCGCCCTTCATCTACGTCGTCCCACCCCTGTCGTTCGTCAACTCCCTCCTTGGCTCCCACCCGTCTCTCGAGGCGCCTCATAAGTCGACTCTCATCCGTTCTCTCGTGTTCCCCTGTGCCGTCATCTCATTTTCGTGCGAATCGGCTTTAAGCGGAACATCCGTCCGAGGGAACAGTGGAGGCTGGCGAAGGGGGGGGGAGGGGGGCGAAAGGAAGGAAAAATAAGAGTCGACTCCTCCCATCCGCTCTCTCGTGTTCCCCTGTGCTGTCATCTCATTTCTGTGCGGATCGGCTCTAAGCGGAACAGTCTTTGAGGGAACAGTGGAGGAAGGCGAAGGGGGAAAGGGGGGACAAGAGAAAAGCGGAGGCAGGGAAGAAGGGCGGAAACTTAGCCAAGGAAGAAACTCGGAGGTTAAAGGCGAGGCGAGGCGAGGGAAAGCGAGGCGAAGCGAGGCGAGGACAGGAGGAGGGACAGTAGGGGAGCCTTCACTGAGTGGGAGACGAGAGAGGGAGACGAGAGAGGGAGACGAAAGAGGGAGCCCGAGGAGTGAATGTGCTGCACGGTCGAAGGTGCATTCACATCCCATCGCATCCCTGCATGATTAATCCCAGTCAGAAAAGATGATTCGCGCGCTGCGCATGGTGCGCGACGCGTGGGTGTTCTTCACGGGCAAGCAGGACTCTGAGCTGGTGCGGCAAACCAAGCAGCTGCAGTTCGAAGCTGCCAAGGTGAGACGCGCTCACACACACACGAGAGCATCTTATTCAATAGCACAATGGCAACAAGAGGACTGGTTTGTGCATGGTGCGCGACGCGTGGGTGTTCTTCACGGGCCGGCAGGACTCGGAGCCGGTGGGGCAGACGAAACGATTGCATTTCGAAGCCGCCAAGGTGAGACAATCTATTAAGAAATCTTCAAGGAGTGGTGAGGACCGGTTGTGTGGGATGGGCGCGTGGGTGTTCTTCACGGGCAAGCAGGTCTCGGAGCTGGTGCAGCAAACCAAGCCACTGCAATTTGAAGCCGCTGAGGTGAGACGCACACCTGGACGAGACCATGGTGAGCGTAGAGCACAAGCATAAGCTAACTAGCAAACTGGTAAGGCGCATCTGTTTAAATAGTGCTGCTGGATGCAGCGTGAAAGTTTTTCATGGGCCAACAGGACACACACACATGCATGAACGCACACGCATGCACGCACGTGCACACGAGTGGAGGAGCTGTCTTCGGTTGCTGGCTCTGCCTGCGGATCTCCCTCCTCCCTCTGTTTGCCTATGCCTGCCTGGTCTGTCTGCCCTGCCCCACTCAGCTGAGGGCCCTGTGGGTGTTGCAGCAGCAGGTGCAGGAGGAGCGTATGGTTGTGCATTATCCCTGCAACGATAGCGTCTCCTAACTTGGTTCCGCCCTGCCTCACTCAGCGGAGGGCCCTGCACGAGGCACAGCAGCAGGTGGTGAATGGATGTTGACTCTCAGCTCTCCTCCCTCTCTCCCGCTTTGCCCAGCTCTGTACCTCCCTCTATCCCGCTTAATATGTACCTCCCTTCAGCCTGCATCTGAGGGCCCTGTGGGGAGCACAGCAGCAGGTGGTGCATGGTTGCGCGGACTCTGTTTTGCTTACACACATCTCCTCTCCCTCTTCGCCCAACTCTGTTCCTCCTTGGTACACACCCTCTTTCCGCACTCACCTGTGGGCCCTGCGGGTGGTGCAGCAGCAGGTGGTATAGGGAGCAGTCTTTGGTTGCTGCCTCTACCTGCGCTCATCTCTCCTCTCTCCTCCCTCTTCTCTCGTTTTGCCAATGCATGTTCCTCCCTTGCGCACCCAGCCAAGGGCTCTGCGGGTGGAACAGCAGCAGATGGTGGATTCTTCCTTGTGAGAACGATGTTTGAGTCGACTCAAAAATCGTCTCATCACAGCAGTGGATGCTGGATGCTTTCTTCTGAGAATTCTGAGACGGATCTCGTTGCACTCATCTCTCACTGATAGCGTGCTGCCTTTCTCTTTTCACTCTTCTTGCACCTCTCCCTCCCTCCTCTTTCCGCACCGCAACGTCCAGCTGACAGCTCTGCGCGTGGCACAGCAGCAGCAGGTGGTGAAGGGGTTGCGTTTGGTTGCTTGACTCTGTTTGCACCCAACTCTCCGTCCCTCTTATCCCCTCTGCTTGTCCCTCTTATCCCCTCTGCTTGTCCCTCTTATCCCCTCTGCTTGTCCCTCTTATCCCCTCTGCTTGTCCCTCTTATCCCCTCTGCTTGTCCCTCTTATCCCCTCTGCTTGTCCCTCTTATCCCCTCTGCTTGTCCCTCTTATCCCCTCTGCTTGTCCCTCTTATCCCCTCTGCTTGTCCCTCTTATCCCCTCTGCTTGTCCCTCTTATCCCCTCTGCTTGTCCCTCTTATCCCCTCTGCTTGTCCCTCTTATCCCCTCTGCTTGTCCCTCTTATCCCCTCTGCTTGTCCCTCTTATCCCCTCTGCTTGTCCCTCTTATCCCCTCTGCTTGTCCCTCTTATCCCCTCTGCTTGTCCCTCTTATCCCCTCTGCTTGTCCCTCTTATCCCCTCTGCTTGTCCCTCTTATCCCCTCTGCTTGTCCCTCTTATCCCCTCTGCTTGTCCCATTCAGCTGAGAGTCCTGTGCATGGCACAGCAGCAGGTGGTGGGGGAGGAGGGCTCTCACTAACATCGTGTTGTTGCCCTTCCTTTCCTTGTTCCTCTCCCTTCTCCTTCCGCCCTTTCCCAATCCAGCTGAGGGCGCTGCGGGTGGCACAGCAGCAGGTGGTGGAGGAGACGGTTCTGGAGCATGTGAGACGAGTGGTGGGGGAGATGCAGCATCCCACTCTCTTCTCCTTCTCCTCCTTCCCTCCTCTTCTCCCCGCTATCCCCATCCAGTTGAGGGCGTTGAGAGTGGCACAGCAGCAGGTGGTGGAGGAGACAGCTCTGGAGCATGTGAGGCGAGTGGTGGGGGAAATGGAGCAGCTGAAGCAGCAGCTTGATGGCATGGTGAGGAGTGGTGGTTGGTGATAAGTGGATTGAGGGTGGCGGAATACGGTAGAAACTGACTTTTCTTCAGAATGTGAGGCGGATCGGATGGCGGGGGAGATGCAGCAGCTCGATGGCATGGTAAGCGGTTGTCGTGGGATGGTGTATGGTGGGGGTAAGGAGGACTAGGTCATATTGAGGATGTGAGGCGGGTGGAGGGGGAGATGCAGCAGCTGAAGCAACATCTCGATGGCATGGTGAGGAGAAGTTGAATGGTGTATGGTGGGGGTAAGGAGGACTAGGTCATATTGAGCATGTGAGGCGGGTGGTGGGGGAAATGGAGCAGCTGAAGCAGCAGCTTGATGGCATGGTGAGGGTGGGTGGGGGCATGGTGAGGGGTGGATGGGGGTATAGTTTGGGGTGGTGTGATGGTGAGGGTGGTGGGATGGTGTGGGGTGGTGGGATGGTGTGGGGTGTTGTGATGGTGAGGGTGGTGGGATGGTGAGGGGTGGTGGGATGGTGAGGGGTGGTGTGATGGTGAGGGTGGTGGGATGGTGAGGGGTGGTGTTATGGTGAGGGTGGTGGGATGGTGAGGGTGGTGGGATGGTGAGGGGTGGTGTTATGGTGAGGGTGGTGGGATGGTGAGGGTGGTGGGATGGTGAGGGGTGGTGTGATGGTGAGGGTGGTGGGATGGTGAGGGGTGGTGTGATGGTGAGGGTGGTGGGATGGTGAGGGGTGCTGTGATGGTGAGGGTGGTGGGAAGGTGAGGGTGGTGGGATGGTGAGGGGTGGTGTGATGGTGAGGGTGGTGGGATGGTGAGGGTGGTGGGATGGTGAGGGGTGGTGTGATGGTGAGGGTGGTGTGATGGTGAGGGTGGTGGGATGGTGAGGGGTGGTGTGATGGTGAGGGTGGTGGGATGGTGAGGGTGGTGGGATGGTGAGGGGTGGTGTGATGGTGAGGGTGGTGGGATGGTGAGGGTGGTGGGATGGTGAGGGGTGGTGTGATGGTGAGGGTGGTGGGATGGTGAGGGGTGGTGTGATGGTGAGGGTGGTGGGATGGTGAGGGTGGTGGGATGGTGAGGGGTGGTGTGATGGTGAGGGTGGTGGGATGGTGAGGGTGGTGGGATGGTGAGGGGTGGTGTGATGGTGAGGGTGGTGGGATGGTGAGGGGTGGTGTGATGGTGAGGGTGGTGGGATGGTGAGGGGTGGTGTTATGGTGAGGGTGGTGGGATGGTGAGGGGTGGTGTGATGGTGAGGGTGGTGGGATGGTGAGGGGTGGTGTTATGGTGAGGGTGGTGGGATGGTGAGGGGTGGTGTGATGGTGAGGGTGGTGGGATGGTGAGGGGTGGTGTTATGGTGAGGGTGGTGGGATGGTGAGGGTGGTGGGATGGTGAGGGGTGGTGTGATGGTGAGGGTGGTGGGAAGGTGAGGGGTGGTGTGATGGTGAGGGTGGTGGGAAGGTGAGGGGTGGTGTTATGGTGAGGGTGGTGGGATGGTGAGGGTGGTGGGATGGTGAGGGGTGGTGTGATGGTGAGGGTGGTGGGATGGTGAGGGTGGTGGGATGGTGAGGGGTGGTGTGATGGTGAGGGTGGTGGGATGGTGAGGGTGGTGGGATGGTGAGGGGTGGTGTGATGGTGAGGGTGGTGGGATGGTGAGGGTGGTGGGATGGTGAGGGTGGTGGGATGGTGAGGGGTGGTGTGATGGTGAGGGTGGTGGGATGGTGAGGGGTGGTGTGATGGTGAGGGTGGTGGGATGGTGAGGGGTGGTGTGATGGTGAGGGTGGTGGGATGGTGAGGGTGGTGGGATGGTGAGGGGTGGTGTGATGGTGAGGGGTGGTGGGATGGTGAGGGGTGGTGTGATGATGAGGGTGGTGGGATGGTGAGGGGTGGTGTTATGGTGAGGGTGGTGTGATGGTGAGGGGTGGTGGGATGGGTAGGGGTGGTGGGATGGTGTGGGGTGGTGGGATGGTGTGGGGTGGTGGGATGGTGTGGGGTGTTGTGATGGTGAGGGTGGTGGGATGGTGAGGTTGGTGGGATGGTGAGGGGTGGTGTGATGGTGAGGGTGGTGGGATGGTGAGGGGTGGTGTGATGGTGAGGGTGGTGGGATGGTGAGGGGTGGTGTTATGGTGAGGGTGGTGGGATGGTGAGGGTGGTGGGATGGTGAGGGGTGGTGTGATGGTGAGGGTGGTGGGATGGTGAGGGTGGTGGGATGGTGAGGGGTGGTGTGATGGCGAGGGTGGTGGGATGGTGAGGGGTGGTGTTATGGTGAGGGTGGTGGGATGGTGAGGGTGGTGGGATGGTGAGGGGTGGTGTGATGGTGAGGGTGGTGGGATGGTGAGGGTGGTGGGATGGTGAGGGGTGGTGTGATGGTGAAGGTGGTGGGATGGTGAGGGGTGGTGTTATGGTGAGGGTGGTGGGATGGTGAGGGTGGTGGGATGGTGTGGGGTGGTGGGATGGTGTGGGGTGTTGTGATGGTGAGGGTGGTGGGATGGTGAGGGGTGGTGGGATGGTGAGGGTGGTGGGATGGTGAGGGTGGTGGGATGGTGAGGGTGGTGGGATGGTGAGGGTGGTGGGATGGTGTGGGGTGGTGGGATGGTGTGGGGTGGTGGGATGGTGTGGGGTGGTGGGATGGTGTGGGGTGGTGGGATGGTGTGGGGTGGTGGGATGGTGTGGGGTGGTGGGATGGTGTGGGGTGGTGGGATGGTGTGGGGTGGTGGGATGGTGTGGGGTGGTGGGATGGTGTGGGGTGGTGGGATGGTGTGGGGTGGTGGGATGGTGTGGGGTGGTGGGATATTGGTCTTGTAGGTGGATGGCACTCAGGTTGCAGGGCTGCCTAGAAACACAACAGTCTCCTTGTAACACACTCACACACGCGTCAGAAACCCGTTTCTAGCACGACCACGCACTACACTATTTGCTTTGCCTTTTTGTGCGTCACTCGTCTTTCGTTCGTGATATCACCTTTGAGGATTCTTGGCAGTGATACAAGCAAATCAATGTATGTCTCTACTACGTCACGCGAGTGCTTGTTCTTTCTGTGCCTCATGCCTCTTTCGCCTCATCCCTCTTTCGCCTCGTGCCGATTTGGCTGCCGTCCACATGGCAGGAGGAAGCAGCAAAGGCACTGGCAGAGAGTGTAGCGGAGCAGGCTAAAACGAGGATGCAGCAGGAGGAGGAGGAGGATGACAGGAGATTGCTGCAGACTATGGATCAAACAGCGTTAGAAAGGCTGCTGGGGTATGGGAGAGAGGAGACGGGCATGAGTGGGAGCCAGAAGAGGAATGGTGGTGGTAGTGGCAAGTGATGCAACAGGTGGAGCAGGGGGAGGGGGAGGAGGATGACAGGAGATTGCTGCAGAATATGGATCAAACTGCACTGGAAAGGCTGCTGGGGTATGGGAGAGAGGAGAAGGATGACGGTGGGAGGAGCAAGTAACAGAAGAAGGCACAAATCAATCAACTCTGCTGGAACGGCTGCTCGGGTGTGGCAGGGAGGAGAAGGATGTCAGTAGGGGCGGCAATTAGCAGCGGAAGGCACAAATCGATCCAACATCGCTGGAAAGGCTGCTGGGGTGTGGCAGGGAGGAGACGGGAGTGAGTGGGAGGCAGGAGAAAGATTGTGGCGGTGGAAGTGGCAAGTGATAGGATGCAGCAGGTCGAGGGGGATGGAGGAGGAGAAAGGCAGGTGGCTATTGCAATTTGCAGTCTGTGAATCAAGCAGCACTGGAAAGGCTTCTCGGGGTTTGGCAGGGAAGCATTAGTGGGAGGCAGGACAAGGATGGTGGTGGGAATAGCAAGTGATCGTGAAGCAACAGGGCGACGCGTGTATGGTGTTACGATAAGTGAAATGAGAAGTGCAGTACATCCTACCCGTAACAATCGAGACAAGCGCTAGTGAGTATGAATGCGAACAGTCAGAGATACGAGAAATGTCGCGTATCATTGGGAGCATCTGGACCGTCAGTGGCAGAAGCATCGGGCAGCTGCATCACCAAGGATTTGGCGGGAACAGGTTCGTAACCGGTTCCCGCCCCGCACGGTTAACTTTAGCAGCACTACGGGAATGTACCGCTTTGAGTACATGGCTAGTTAGGACGCTTCGTGTCCCTTTGTTTTCCTACATAAACCATTGTATGTTTCTGTTACCGTATAATCGCTTCAGTCAATTACATTCACTCTGATCTGAGGTCATTTCCGCTGCATTAACTCTGTGCGAACAACCTGAGCTGACCATGGCTAAGGTCCCCCTTGCTGTCAAACTGTCAAAATAACTTTTACCATATTCTCCCGGACAAAACACTCCCCCGTAATTGTACACCCCCGGGTAGCTTGTGCGGGGTGGATGTTATGAAAGACCTCGTTTCTACTATACCCCCCTTTTTGGCTGATTTTCTATTACACCCCCCTTTTCTTACGAATCCGTTATTATAGTCGTTAACGAGTAGCTGCAACTGCAATACGGAAGAATATCGCGGAAATTTCTCCCTAGATGAAATTTCGCGGTACATTTATTTACAATCCACCGAGATTTCCCCCCTCCCACTACTTCGCAGTCGCCATGTGCAGGCGAATCTTCCGCTACAAGTGGCCAGAGAGGTGCCACACATTTTCGTAGGGGTGATGAAGTTCGTGGCCGAAACTCACATTTGCGCCTCAGACAGTGATGTTAAAATGAAAATAAAAACACCCACATTGTCTAATCAAATAAACACTAACACTAAAATATACCAGTTGTAAAGACCCGGGTATTATGTATTTTTTCCCTATGAGGAGACCCCCCCCATTTTTTCCCTGCATTTTTAGCTATACCCTAGGGTGTTATGTCCGGGAGAATACGGTATGTTGTGTAGGCTGTAGTGAGGTAGACTGTACTCAGTACAACCTTTAGGGTTAGCTCTACTTGTACTCCTCACTCATGCTAGTGCACCTCATTCCGCTGTATTGATTATGACATGGTTTCAGAGCAGGTCCTGACCTAGGACCGTTTTTTTAGGGCCCCACCCTCACTCCTGCTACAGGAGCTGCTGCTGTCGCGCCTTGCCCTGCTCGCCGCGCGTGTTCCCTGCCCTGCCCTGCCCCGCGCGGTCGCGCTGCCCCGCGCTTCCCTGCTGCCGCGCGTGCTGCGCTGCTGCTCGCGCTGCCCCGCCGCGCGCTCCCCTGCTGCCGTGTGTGCTGCGCTGCTGCCCACGCTGCCCTGCTCGCCGCGCGCGTGCACTGCCCTGCCCAGCGCTATCGCGCTTACCTGCCCCGCGTTCCCCGCATGCCCTGCTGCCCTGCGCGCCCCGCGCGCCCTGCTGCCTGCGTGCCCCGCACGTTCTGCTCCCCAGCGCCCGTGCGCGCCCTGGTGCCCCGTACCCGCGCGTGTCCCGCTGCCCAGAGCCAGCGCGCTCCCCGCTGCCCAGCGCCCGCGCGTGCCCCACTGCCCCGTGCCCGCGCGTGCCCCGCTGCCCAGCAATAGCGCGCACCCCGCTGCCCAGCGCCCGTGCGCACCCTGCTGCTCTGTACCAGCGCGCGCCCCGCTGCCCAGCGCCCGCGCGTGACCCGCTGCCCTGTGCCCGTGCACGCCTTGCTGCCCAGCGCCCACTCGCCCCTGCCCTGCCGTGATAGCGCTGCCCGCGCTTGCCCTGCCCGCGCGCAAGTGCCGCCTACTGCTGCCGCCCTAGGTGGTGCCGCGTGCTGCTGCCGTAGGTGCTGTCCCCCTAGGTGCTGCCGCCTGCTGCTGCCGCCCTAGGTGCTACTGCCACACGCGTGTGCTGCCCCGCGCTGCCCTGTCCCGCGCTAGCGCTGCCTTGCCCTGAGTGCTGCTACGCTGCTATTGCCGCCTGTGCTATTGCTGCTGCGCTGCTGCTGCTGCTGCTTGCGCTACTGCTGGCCCAGCCGAGCCGCCCTGCCGAGCCGCCCAGCCGAGCCGCCTTTGCTGCCGCCATTGCTGCCGTTACTGCTGCTATGGGGACTCCCACAGTGCTCACCTTTGATGCCGAGGGCCACCCGATACAGTTTGAGTCCTGGCTAGAGGGTCTGCACCAGTACCTCCAGAGTGTCACTCAGGACAACACCTCCCTGTTCGAGCACACATCGGGGTCCATCCCGGCCCCTGAGGCTCCTGCTGAGCCTGCTGCTGCCGCTGGGGAGGAGGTGCAGACGCAATACCGCGCTGACCGCATTGCCTACAAGCGGTGGAAGGCGTGTGACACCGCCACCATACTTGCAGTCCACGCTCACCTCTCGCTCGACCAGAGAGCCAACTTTCGCCAGGTGTCGTCGGCCCTTGCTTTATATACCGTTGTGGCTAGGCGCTACTCCCCCCGCCCCTCCTGCCACCCTAGGCCGTCTTACGCTGCTACTTACCTTCCCTGCTTCTGCCAACACACTGACCTCTTGCCGCTCGCCGCGATTGGAGACACCTCTGGGTTTTCCACCAAGGACGTCTTCGCCTCCTCTGCAGCCTGTCGATGTGGAATTCGGGGGCCCAGGTGTTGTTGGGGGTGGTGGCTCTAGGGGTGTTGGTTCTGGGAGTGCTGGTTCTGAGGGTGCTGGTTCTAGGGGTGCTGACTTTGGGAGTGCTAGGAGTCCTCTTGTTGGTGGACTTGGAGGTACTGGTACTGGAGGTGCTGGGTCCGGGGGTGCGTTGCAATCGCTGCCGTGGCGGCCTATCTTCTTCGAGCAGCCGTCGTCGTTGCTACCTGAGCCGATGCCCACTTGTACTACTCCTCCTCTTTTGTTTCCGCCGCCTGACTTGTCTCAGCCACTGTTGCCACCTGACTCCCCTCTGCCTCCTCTTGCTCGATACTCCCCGTTGCCTGTCTCCCTGACTGGGCGTGGGGTGCCTTTGTCTTGTGCCGCCTCCCCTGCTACCTCTCGTGTTACTCGGGAGCCTGTTGTCCTGCCGTTACCTCCCCCATCTTCTTTTCCTGCGTTCCTGACCATGTGCCTGACCTTGCTTGTGCTGCCCGCCCAACTATCCCTTGTTGTCTAGCGGCGCTTGAGATTGCACTTGCTTCTTCGACTGCTGCTGAAACTGCCTTAGTAGCTGAGCTCGCAGGCTTTGCCGCTACTTGCCGCCGTGCCTACCTTGCTGGTCTCGTTTCTCCCTCTTCGTGTCCTACGTCTGTCGGGGGTGAGCTTGCCCTTGGCTATGACGTCCTTGTGGACACACAGTTCAAGCTGGTGTACTTGCCGTACCCTCCCAGCATCCGGAATCGCTACTTTGCGCCCGGGAGACACCACCATGCGCATTGGCGGGCTGCTAGGAGGGTGCTGCGCTACTTGGTCGGACTAGCGAGCAGAACGCAGCACTTTGCACTTCGTTCCTTTGCCGTGCGAGTGTTGCAGCAACGTTCCCAGCTTCCCCTTCGTACATGGCCACACGAGCCTACACTGCTTGTCTCTTGATATTGTCTTGTACTTTGATATATAAATCTGCATGTTTCTGGTTGTTAGGTGGTAATCATTGTACAGCTTGCTCTATTATAAAACTGCATGTGAACTGGCCTTGTGGCCGCTTGCTTGTGCTCGGAATGCGTGGTGATCTTGAGATCCACCCTGAGCTTGCTTTGCTTTGTTTCTTCTCTTGACTGGTCTTGTGATCGCTTGCTGTGTTTGTTATCCCCCACTTCGCCTATGAGGGTGTGTCAAAATAACTTATATGCTGTGTAGGGTGTAGTGGGGTAGACTGTACTGAATACAACCTATTAGGGTTAGCTCTACTTTTACTCCTCACTCATGCTAGTGCACCTCATTCCGCTGTATTGATTCTGACACAAACTACAAATATGCATGATAATCTATAGTGGAGCACACAGTAAG